ACCTGCCAACGGCCCTCACAGCTGCTGACACCCCTCACAGCTGCCGACCCCCTCACACCTGCCAACGGCCCTCACACCTGCCTATGGCCCTCATAGCTGCCAACCCCCTCACACCTCCCGACAGCCCTCACAGCTGCCAACCCCCTCACAGCTGCCGACACCCCTCACAGCTGCCAGTGGCCCTCACAGCTGCCAATACCCCTCACACCTGCTGACGGCCCTCACAGCTGCCGACAGCCCTCACAGCTGCCAATGGCCCTCACAGCTGCCAATACCCCTCACACCTACTGACACCCCTCACACCTGCCGACACTCCTCACACCTGCTGACACCCCTCACAGCTGCCAACCCCTTCACACCTGCCAATGGCCCTCACACTGGGCACTGCCAAGGGTGAGAGAAGAAGCCCAGCCACACAAGCCATCACCGTGACGATAACCCAGGACATCTCGCTCCCCTGCCACCACCCCCAGCAGAGCAGGGAAAGACCTGGACTTCACTGCTCTCCTTTCCTAGGTTCCAAGAGCCGGTAGATACCAAGACAAGTGACAAGGACGCAACCACCAGAGGTTCTGTCCACTGAACACCAAGGAACCCAACTGAACTTTTCGCTCTCGTATGCGCAGGGATTAGGATACAGGGTCTCAGCTTTTCTTCTCCTGTTAGAACTGGCAGTGAGTGCTGTTGGAACAGTCCTTGGTCCCAGGGAAGGCAGTCGTTTAGTGGCTAGTTCCATGTGGGTCCCCTAAAATCACTCCCTGTCTGGAAGCTCCCTATGGTGCAATGGCAGAAAGCTTCTGACAGCTGTGGGCATGATGAGAGGCACATGGGCCTGAGGACAGGCACAGCACCTGGAGCTCTGCGCCGTGACCCCACAGACTGTGAGCAAATGCACAGCTGAATCTGACACATAGCAGCCAGGAGGCCATCCTGGAATGAAGACAATTAATGTGGCAGCTCCACTACAGAACCAGAACATTGGGGAGCAAGAAAAGGGCGTGTGATCAGTGTGACCAGTGCACATGCTGCTTCCCCCAGGAGCAGGGAAAATAAACCAGCAAATTGGCGAACTGCACTTCCGTTCTCTACTCTGCTTACCGAAACTCCCTGTTCATCTAGATATTAGAAAGCCTAATTGAACTCATCAATTACATTGAGAAGTAGAAAAATAAATAGAACAGTTCTGGAAAGTGCTAGGCGTCTTCCCTCTCCAGCTGCCCACACTGCACACGTCACGGTCTATTCCACCATTATGCAACTGTGAAAACCCAGAACAGAGATATTTAGGAAGAACAAAGTTAAGTTTTGTAAGAGCCTCTTGGCTGACAACGACCCAGGACTGTCCGATGGCCCAGCACCTGAGGTGGAATTACAATCCAATCAGGACAAGTCCAGTTCTTTTCTACCAACAGCCAGTCGGGATTCAGCCAGCAGCATGGGACATAGGTCACAGGTTCGAGAGTCGGTGTCCATTTTTTTCCCTGCAGATCAGCTTCTCCCTCACTGTAACCAACGCTGCACTTGTTTTCTATTCATAAAGTAGAAACTTTTTTATGGGTTCTGGCAGAGGCAGTGAGGGAATCAGATGAAGTCGGTATTTGCCAAGAGCTCTTCTCACAGCCACGCGGCACAAACTCAGCAAGGTCCTGGGAACACCTGCACAGCCGTGGAAAGAAAGGGAGAGACAGAGGAAGGAAGATCAGCTCCTACCCTGACTCTACAGACTAAGGCTGGCGTGACCGAGAGCCAGGTGGCCCTGCTGCTCACTGCGAGCCTCCTCACCCTGCAGTGCGGCAGCCCCCAGAGCAGGGTCATGTTCTTGGTCCCTCCACCTGAGGACGGAGCTGATTAACCTGGGGCATCACTCACTGGAAAAGCCTCTCCTCCCGCAACTTAGTTAACGCCCTAGCTAGTGGTTCTCAACCTTCCTAATGCCGCAATGTATTTTCATTGTTACAAAGGGGTTGTGACTTACAGGTTGAGAACTGCTGCCCCAGACAAAGAAGTAAGACTTGGTCACTAAAGGCCCTGGGAGACGAAGAACTGACCTCACCTGCTGTCGGTCTCTTGTCTTGGTGCCCCCCTAAAGCGCCACAGGAGCCTGGGGGATGCGGCAGGGCAGTACTCATGGGGACAGGAGGACGATTTTGCTCTGGGTCAAAAAACCCTACCCAAGTCTCTGCCTCAGTCACTAAAGAGGGAGATGAGGGAGAAGTCATGGGTACCACTGCTGTTTTCTACCAGCATGGTTCCCAACTGACCACTAACCACTACTTTTAAGAAGGCTCAACAAGAGCATGGAGGTTTGGTTTGGTTTTTTACTTTGTATTTTTTATTTACTTCTTTTCTTTGAGGCAGAGTCTCACTCTGGTACCCAGGCTGGAGTGCTATGGTGTGATTGCAACTCACAGCAACCTCTAATTCCTGGGCTAAAGTGAGCCTCCTGCCTCAGCCTCCCGAGTTGCTGGGATGACAGGCACACACCACCACAACCAGCTAAATTATCATGAGCTCCAGCGATCCTCCCACCTTGGCCTCCCAGAGTGCTAGGATTACAGATGGGAGCCAGCACACCTGGCCAACAGGAGCACGTTTTAATAAACTGTTTAGGGAACTTCAGTAACCAAACCATAATGAACTTAAGTTCTGTGGATCCCCTTAAGACCCAGAAGGGAAGGTGGGGATGATACGTAGACAGGAGTTCACAGAGGACACACAGGGTCAATTTCTGAATCCCAGAGAGGGCCTCTGACGAAACCATGGATCAATTCCAAGCTCTCGTGCTACTGATTTATTAATCCTTAACAAAACCTTTCCTAATAAATAAGCAAAAAACAGACTTCATTATGACCAAAATTAGACAGAGTACCATCCAAAATAATAGTACTTGGGTCAAACTGAAGAAAGGGAAGTGAGGAACCTTACAAAATGGGCTGGCAATTTGGGTCAGGCCTCATTTAAAACCACATATAAAAGAAGCCACTGTCTCAGCTCAGCACCCATGGCATAGTAGTCACAGCTGGTTACAGCACCGAGGCTGGCAGGTTCCAGCCCAGCCTGGAGCAGATAAACAACAATGACAACTGCAAGAAGAAAACAACCGGGCGTTGTGGCAGGCGCCTGTAGTCCCAGCTACTTGGGAGGCTAAGGCAAGAGAATCACTAAGCCCAAGAGTTGGACGTTGCTGTGAGCTGTGACACCACGGCACTCTACCAAGGTCAACAAAGTGAGACTCTGCCTCAAAAAAAAAAAAAGAAGTCAATGTCTCTAAGAATTTGGGTCACAAAGCAGAGCAAAAAGATAATGAGAACATAATTCTAGGAACTTTGAGAACATACACGTACCTATATAGATTTCCTGATATCAATGCTTGGTGTACAGAAATTTTAAAAGAAAAGATCAATCTCAATGACCATGCTAGAAAACTGCTAGTCCTAACTGAAGATTTTGGCCAAATCCTCAAGAGTCTGTTGGGGGTTTTTTAATTACTACACCTTCATCATTCAATGGACCCAAACAGACTACAAGTCAAGAGTTGAACGCAGGCCACTTACTTTTGGCCTCTTTAAAGACCTGCAAGGCCTCAGGGTCCACCTTCCTTCTGCCTCTCGCCTCTGGGCCCAGTGATTCCCACTTTACCAGGTTCAGGTTGGCTCCAAACTCCACCAGCAGGCTCACAAAGGCCGCCTCACAGCCATGACGCAGGACAGCATCCATGACACACCCAGGGGAGCCCCTGTAGAACCCCTGCGTGTTGACAGGACCGTTGCAGTTGAAGTCAGGGTTTGCCCCAGCCAGGAGCAGCAGCCGGAAGCACTGGAGGTTGTGGTAGGCCGCGCTGATGTACAAGGGACAGACCACCAGGGAGGTGAGCCGCCGGGAGAATGGGGGCTGGATGTCAGGAGTCAGGTGGTGGTTGACATCAACGTCAGCACCATACCTGCAGAAGAGAGGGCAGTGAGACCTGCACAGGGCTGACCACAGCACACCATCACCACGCAGTCCCAAGGAGGCCTCATTCAGTGAGGCTGGGAGCTGTGCAGACCCACAGATCACAACTGGTTTCAGTCTGTCCAACAAGGCAAGGAAGCAGGACAGAACCTAGAATCCACTCATAGGAAAAACTCCCAGGGGGAGCCTTTCAAACCTTGAAAGGCCCAATAATCCTAAGGCCATTTAAACTATTTCAGAGCAAAGGAAGAAAAAAAGGAAAACTTCCAAATTTATCTGATGATATTAGCACAATAATAATCCCAAAACCTAACAAAGACTGCACTATGAAGAAAAAGTACCAGGGGTAGGTACCAGGGCCGGCCCCATACACTGAGGGTGGCGGGTTCAAACCCGGCCCTGGCCAAACTGCAACAAAAAAAGTAGCTGGGCATTGTGGCAGGCACCTGTAGTCCCAGCTACTCGGGAGGCTGAGGCAACAGAATTGCCCAAGAGCTGGAGGTTGCTGTGAGCTGTGACGCCACAGCACTCTACCAAGGGCAACAAAGTAAAACTCTGTCTTTAAAAAAAATTAAAGAAAAATTACCAACTAATTTCACTCATGAGTATCAATTTTAAAATCATCAATAAAGGTTCAATGCCTATGGCTCAAGCAGCTAAGGAGCCAGCCACATACACCTGAGCTGGTGGGTTAAAATCCAGCACAGGCCGCCAAACAACAATGACAGCTGCAACCAAAAAATAGCCGGGTGTTGTGGCAGGTGCCTGTAGTCCCAGCTACTTGGGAGG